TGTGCATGAAGTAACAGACTTGGATTTCCTATGGAACCCATAAGAAACCTAAACCAGGATATTCTGATATATTAGATTATTCATAAATTAGGAAAAAAACCTAATGAAGTATAAAATAGCTCCAGGTATAGTAGTTAGGAATGACAGCTTTGGCAAATTAGGATCTTGTCCCATTAGGTTTTATATGTGTGACTTCACAGTCCACTCTCTGGTAGCTGGCTGAAATGCTGAATTACTCTGAAACTGCTCCTTTGCCCTTAACGAGCTGTAAATTTGGTCTCATCGAGGTCCTTGTCTAAGATACCTTTTCTTGCATAGTCCCACCTGAAAGGTGCTGTGAGTTCTTGATTAAATCATCCTGGAGCTCTAGCCTCACCTTTCAGTTTGGAAAAGGCTTTGCTACACATCAGCTGTTGGACGTCACCTGGGTACTGCTATTCCAACTAGGATTTGCTTTGCTGTGGAGCCTCATTATTACACGAACACCACTCAGGAGACGTCAAGGAAATCAGAGTTATTTAGTGCGTTTCAACTCACAGAACAGGAACTTTTTTTGTAGAAGGTGTTTCATTAATTCTTACATTTGCAGAACTCTTGCCTTCCAGACTCGCATTGGTTTTGGCTGAATAACTCGGATTTCAGGTAGCTTTTCCTTGTTTCCTTTGTTTTCTGAAAGCAGAATTTATCTACGTTTCAGAAACCTAAACACATTTTCTCTCTCTTTGGGTTGTTGGGTTTTTCTAACACAAATATTAGGTTTAAGAAAAGAAGTATTTGTAAATTTTATTGTTAAAGAAATTGACTGCTTGATAGTTTTAACTCTGTGGTGTGAAAAGATATCCACTTCCAAAAATTGCAGGAAGAAAAACCAAAGAGAATTTCCATTGTAAATACTGTTACATTGAACTAATTTCTCTCATTCTTAATTATCATTCTTAATTGCTTGCTGTGCATTTGGTCATAGTGTTCAGTAAATCAAAAGCAGTCTCGTGCAGTTACTTTTTGATCTTTATTACTTTAAAGTTTAGCTCTCCAATAGTTCAGAATGAGTTTTTCATTGCATTTCTGTCTATCTTCGTGTATTTTCTTGCAGCAGAATTTATAGCAGTATCTTCTTCACATAAAGAAGAAATCTCAAGGTGATGGATGCAGAAGCAGCTCTGAAGCAGTGTGATTTACTGCTGTTATCTTGGAGCTCTTTTGTATGCAGTGCTCCTCTTGGGAGCTGGATAAAGTGAGAGTGGGACCTGAACCCTGATACACAAGCAGGAGGTTCTTACCATGTACAAGCTGAAATAATAAGAAATAATAACCATACACAGAAAAACAAGCATAATAGTTTTGCTTTTGTAAGAATACGCTTCTCATAAATACCAGTATTTCAAATATCTAGCAGTACTTCACTTGGTATGTGGATTCCTTAAAATTTTTCACTTTGGGCTTTTTTGATACATTTTTACTTGAGCCTCCTCTTAATGGAAATTACACTTGATTCCATGAGAAGAGGATGAAAGCAGGGGTCAGTTCCCTTTAATTCACCTGATGCTTTATAGAATTGGGTCTATTATCCCTGCACCAACCCAGGCCAACCTCTGCCTTGCTATGGAAGTGGATAGAGCAATATATTGAAACACTGGAGATTGCTGTTGCACTCCTGGATGTGTTTAGGGAAGTTTATACCCTTCTCAGGGCCTATTTTCCTCTAATGTAGGTATAATAATACCAGATTTCTCTCTAAGCATTTGCAAAATACAATGCAGTGTGGGTAATGTTATTATTACAATATCATTTCACTATGAGTTCTGTAACATATATTTAGCTTCTCTTAATCTACAAAAGAACACCAAATCAGATGTGGAGTCAGCAGTTCCCAGTATATAAAGACATAGTGAAAACACCAACACTGCTAGGAACAAGGTTCTGCCACTCACAGTTGTACTTCAAAATGCAATGTTATTGTGTCTGAGAGTCTGATTTTCTGTGGCAGAATATCAGCAATGCAGATAAGACTTTATACTGGCATCTTTTATAGTTTATGCCTCTAAAAGATTTGGGACACAATTACAGATTTTTATCCTCTCAGTCCTATCAGATATGAAATTGTGAACCTGCTCAAAATGTCACCATTGGAAACAAAAGGCAAAACTGATTTCTTTTACTGTGTAATGTGTTACCATCCACTGTGTGGCTCAATTCAATTTTTACAAGGCTTCCTTATGAGGTGCAAGAACTGATTTATGAGTCCACATTAAAGCCTCCTTCACTCTTGAGATTCTAGTTAAATATTATATGATATGACACAAGTATATTGAAAAATAGAGTTTCAGCTTCTTATTATGGGCTTTTGCTTGCTACCCTTGCAGCACGTTCATTTCAGACTGTGCAGAATGTCCTGCATTTCTATTTTTTTATGTATCTCTGGTAAATGTGAGAGTTCAATTTGATATAAGGCAATATATTCTCTCTCAAACAAAAGTTACCAGATAAGATCCCAGGAAAAGTCTTCATCTTCTGGAAATTCCTCATGTATTACCGTGGGCGAGTAGAACTGAATATTTTATCATATGCTATTATTATGGATGAAACTTTGATTTTAGATGTGTTTCTGTGCGATGGAACTATGTGATAGCACGTTCCAGACAGATTCAGTATTACACACGATTACTTGGATCTGTATCTCAAAATCTGTTTGAGTAACAGAAAAGCTTGTTTTATTTTTGCTTCAGAGTGTTTATAAACAGCACAGATTGTTCCTAGCCCTTCCATGGCCACGAGAATGCATTACAGCATCTGTTCAGATTGCCTTTCTGACTCCAGGAGGGTTTTGAGTGAAAGCACATGGGATTTAACCACTGCTCTCAAGGAGTAACCAACAGGCATTGAGCCTGAGGAAAAATCACAGAGAGAATCATGGAATCACAGAATGCCTTGGGTTGGAAAGGGCCTTAAAGATCATCCCACTCCACCCCCTGCCATGGGCAGAGACACCTTACACTAGCCCAGGCTGTTCCAAGCCCCGGCCAACCTGGCCTTGGACACTTCCAGGGATGGGGCAGCCACAGCTTCTCTGCCCAACCTGTGCCTTACAGAGAAGAATTTCTTCCCAATATTTAGTCTAAACTCACTCTCTGTCACTGTGAAGCCATTCCCCTTTGTGCTGTCCCTCCAGGCCCTTGTCAATAGTTTCTCTCCATCTTTCTTGTTGTTCCTTCAGGCACTACAAGGCCACAGTCAGGTCACCCCAAAGCTTTTCTACTGCAGGCTGACCATTCCCAGCTCTCCCACCTTTCCTCCCAGCAGAGCTGCTCCATCCCTCAGACTATCTTGGTGTCTCCTCTGGACTCTCCAGCATCTCCATGTCCTTGCTGTGCTGTTCCCCAGAGCTGGAGCAGCTCTGCAGGTGGTCTCATGAGAAGGAGGGAACACAAAATGTGAAAAATCAAAGTTTTACTGTCCCATACCTCCAACCAGACAATGCACAAGGGAGAGCAGTGATAAGGTCAGGAATGTGAGTTACCTCAGGAAAAGAGGTGATGCAGCTTTGAGAATCATCTGTACCTAGAATTCATCCCTACATGGCATAGCTGTGTACCATATCTCACCTTAATAAAAGACTAAAACAAGAGAAAGTTCACATTCCAGCGTGATCTCGCAAGGAGTAAGTAAGGACACATCCACAGGAGAGATACATATGCTCAAGGAATCCAGTGTTAGAATGGTATATGACAGATATATTAAACAGCAGCTCTGAGTACAGGAGCCATGAAAATTCATACAGGCTTTTGGGAATAATTAATAAAGGAACTGGAACCTTGGACGTGAATTATCCCACTGTACATGGAGTGCGTTTATATCCTCTTTTTTACATGCAATGTCCATATCTCAAAAAAGGATAAAATAGACCTAGGGAGGATTAATAGTGTTATCAGATATATGGAACAGCAACTCTGGTGAGGGAGGCTGAGCAAATCAGGGTTCACAGCCTTGGAAAAATCATGAATTCCAATAAAGAAGGTAAGTAAGGACTGCTGGCTGGTTCTTACAACAGAAAACTGATAAGGCAGAAGGTTTAAAGAAGCAAATAATACCTTTTTCTACAATGCAAAATTCATGCTGTGCCACGAGGTGCTTTGCATGCAAGAACTTAAATGGCTTCAAAGAATAGATATGGAAATGGCATGTGATAATATGCTTAAATAGAGATATTGATTTGATGCTCAGGATACAATTTTTGCCTCAGAACATCTTTAAAGAGTATTTGTGCAGAAGCTGGGAGCTTGTATCTGGGAAAACAATAATATACTCCTTCCCTATCCCTTAGTTTTATAAGAAACATCCCTTTTGCCTGAGTCAGGGTTGATATTCTTCTGTCCACCACTATTGCATGAATCTCCACAGCATTGGCAACCGGTTTCTTATTTTTTTTAAATTGTTTTTAGCTCTCATAATCTCCTTGTCATAGTCAATTGCAAACACATTCAAGGCATGTTAGAGTTAAATCACAAGTGTTCTTAATTTAAAAATTATTAGCATACTACATAATTAATTAGACTTTTACACTTCAGTGAGTTTTGGTTCCCCAAAGAAAATTGAGCACAGAGAATATAATTTGATTTAATTTTTTGTCAAGGTTTAATCTACCTGAAACACTGTTATATTTCAGGAGAAGTATAAACTGCTTAGATCTTGTCAGAATTTCTTTAGTGGGAGCAACATTTATTTACCTGAATGTTAAAATAAAAATAAGTAATTTAAAAAGAATGTTTTATCTCTTTCAAATTAAAAAAAAAAATAATATATATAGAGAGATAAAACCAAGGCATACATTCAGGCAATATCCAAGATATGTGTGTTGCCAGTATGTGAAAGTTGTGACAGAAGTGGTAATTCTGCCAGAGATAATTAAACACTTAAAATAAAATACAAAACTGAATGGAAAAAATGAGAGGAGTAAAGAGAATAAATGCTTTAAGAACTGCTAAGGATAAACTTAAACATACTAAGGGTATTTGATGGCCAGAATTGTTCATTTAACATTGGAGGAGTCTGTGCAGATGACAACTGATGTTTCTTGTTTAAATGGAAACATCACACTGGTGAGAAGAATAAACAGCAAAAATCTCCTGAGTCTCTGTTATTACAAACCTGAAGTAGCTGTAGTGAGCCCTCCATTAGCCATCATAACCAGAGACTGAGATGCCCAGGTGATTTAAAAATTCTTATCCTTTTTTTGCTTCTAGGTTTGACATGCCGCTAAAATATTTCTCTGAATTTTGCTCCCAATTATTTTCACTTTCAAACGCAGTTACGTAGAAAACACCACAGGCACACACAAGAATATTCCAAACTTTGCAGCAATGTTCATGTTGTGCTGAGCCAGAGCTGATCTCTCAAGACAAGATGAACCAAAGTAGTGCAGAAACATTTGGAAGGTTCCCTGCAGAGCAACCTTGGGCTGTGAGAATGCTGAGCCTGAGCTAATCAGCCCTCCCAGACAAACTCCCACTCTGTGCAGAACTGGTCTGGGTGTCCTTGCACTGCTGTTCCACATGACTGAGCATCCCATTTTCTGAAACAGGGACTTAACACTTCCTTTTCTGCAAAGAGTTTTAAGGCAAAGAGCACCAGGGAAGGGAAAGCTGATTTTCTGTTATTCCATGATCTGCCTTATCAAATAGTCTGTCCAATTAGATAACATGAACAGATGGATTAAAATTCCCACCTCCTGTGCACTGAATGCCAGGTGAGAGATGATGCAACACTGGCACAGGTTGCCCAGAGAAGCTGTGGATGCCCCATCCATGGAAACGTTCAGGGTCAGATTGGATGGAGGGCTGAGCTACCTGACTTTGTTGCAAAGGGGGATTGGACCAGGTGCCCCTTAAAAGTCCCTCCCAACCCAAACTATTCAATGACTATGATTCTATGAAGAAATGCTTATACAAGAGCAGGGATATTTTGATCAGTCCTAGAGCTGGCACATGAGGAAGCAGAGATCCTGCTCACTGCCCCAGTCATCACACATGGGGACTGCTCATCTTTGGAAGAACTTTCAAGCCTTTTCTGCTTTTGTTCTCTTCTTTTGCTTTGATATTAACAGTTATTTTTCAACTGCAACAAGACTCAGAGCACTTGAGGAGTACGTGCAGCCAACAAAGATGCTTTTCATATAAAAAGTTGGAGGGAAGGGTTAAAAATGTTAATAAAAGAGCTCCAGTCTTCAGTGCTACAAAGACTGAATAGCAAATCATCAGCCCCAAATATGCTGGATGGGATAAACTATTCATTTTGTGAGTGGAAGGCAATTCTGAGTCCTCATCTGGGCTGATTAAATCTGAGAAGAATTCTGTAATTAAGCAGTTCAACACAAGGTATTTTTTTAAATATCTACCAGGTAAACTACATGTTTTCACAATCACAGCGAATAAACAAAAATATTCCTGTGTTATAATATACTTTATAACCATTCTGCCCCTGGAGGACCATTCATTCCAAATGAACAGTTTGTTGTTAATTCTCGGTTTTACATCCTGACATAAGGAAGCTTGGGAAGAGAGAAACATTCTATATTCCTAAACATGTAGACAAAGCACTGTTTTCTCTCATGACCATAACTCCCTGTAGCCTTGTTTATCTTAATCTGACTGGAATGCAAAATTTCTCAAAGGAGCAACCAAATAAATAATTTGAATAGAGATTATTAAGCAGCAAAAGCATTCAAAAATCAACTTTTCTGTCTTGGAATTAATAGTATTTTTCAAATGTTATCCAACAGTCATTCAAACACAAAATACACAGAATTGGCTTCTATAGCAGTGACCAGGAAAATGATATTTTTTTTTTACTAGATTAAAGCTAACCCATTGAGGTGAAGTGCATTCTCTGCCTTTTCCCTTTCTGTTTTATTTCTTCATGTGCTTTTTCACTGAGTGGAACATCTTCAGTAAACAGGTGGTAAGTTCCCCCTCCTCCTGTTTCCTCTTTCCCCATACAGTATTTTGAGAACTCTTGGGATATGAGAAGGTATTTGCTGCATAAAACCACGGGTGTAGAAAAGGGGGGAATTTTGTGTGACCAACACATATTTCAAAACACCAGTGATACCTCTTAAAAACACTTTAAAAACCTGCCCAGGAAATCCTGCCCCAAGGCTTCAGGAGTCAGCAAGGTATCAAAGCTCCAAGCTCATGTTCTCAGTTGGCATCCAGCTCTCAGCAAAGATGCTTCCTCTGATAAAATGAGCTCAGCCCCTCAGCCTCACCATTGCCCCATTCGTTGCCAAGCCAGCCAGAAACTTGTTAAAGAATAATCACACATTTGAGCAGAGAGACAGATAGGACTTTATTGGCCTATTTTCAGTGATGTGCTGCAGCAAAGGTTGTGGTAGCATTACAATGTTATTTCAGGTCAGGAGTGCTTCAAAATCATTTATTGTTAATGCAAACACTATGACAAGCTGCCACTCTGTGTGCTTAGCAGCTTTATAAAGTAAAAATTTTGTTCTATCAAAGCCACTTATACAGCAAATGATACTTGTCTACAAGACTGGCTAAATCCTACCAAATTTACTCTTTTTAAGTCAGATGAAGCTGATGTAAAATCTGTAAGACAGGGTTGCTTCTTTGTCTTTATTGTAGTCAATATTTAGCTGCTTAACTCCATTTTAAAATAAAATGAGTTTTCAGTCAGCATGTCAAGCACACACTGAATGTCAGCAACAATCATTGAGGAATTATTAAACATGCAACATGTGGGTCTATCTGGATAAACCTGACATGTGGATGACATTTTTCTCAAATCAGGATGCCAGGCCTGAGCTGAATGCACGGAAAAGAAATGAAGAAAAATGTAGCACATACACATTTACCTTGGTTTTGGTGATGTTGCTCCACTGGCTGCAATATGCTTTGGAGGAGTATCCTGGTTTCACCTGGGATAGAGTTAATCTCCTCTTTCAGCATCACCTTTCCTGTGTGACCCAGACTATAGAATTGTCTGTCTTGGCAGTAGACAAAGAAATTCAGTGTTCCAAAAGGAAAATATGATCTCTGGCTCTTAATTCTGGTTATTGCTGTTTGCTTTCTGGCAAAGCTGAATTTGAAATGGAATCTGTGTGGTGGTAAGTTTTACTAGGTTCTAGTCTTTATATGTGAGATATCCTCCTAAGGAAGGACATCTCTTGAAGTGATGTCTTGAATATCACTTAAAATTGTGAAGTTTGCTCCAGAGAGAAAGAGAAAAATTCTTTTGGGACTTGGCTCTTCGTTTTTGTTTCTATAAAATAATCTCCAGCCTATGAAAGGCTGGCTTGCTAATGCTCATGCCATATCTTATTTCATCAGAAAACACTTTAGGCATCCACATCTTAATTACAGATCTATCAAAGACTCATAAAAATTAGAGGTGGAAAAGGCCTAGCAGAACACTTAGGTCTGCTAATGCAGGAATTTCTCTAGAGCATATTTATTCTTCATCTGTGTCTCAGGTCTATTTTAAAATGTGCATAGGAGGGTTCCAGTAATGGAGGAGTTCCTCTGGAGCACACTTATTCCTCATTTGTTGCTCAGGTCTGTATTAAAATGGATATAAATGACTAATGCATTAACTTTGGTGGTGCAAAAACACGCAGATCAGGGGACTTTCTTTGCCTGTTTTGAAATATATTTTCACTTTTAGGTTATTTTGCTACTCGTGTCTATTCACCTTCAATGTACTTCCTTTTAATTTATACCATTACTCAGAGCATAAAGCCAACATATACTACTGTATGTCTCTCCTTTTTTTTTTTTAGTAACCCTCATGTGTTTGAAGATGGTTATAATGTTTTTCTTACTGAACTAATTCTTTATTAATTAATAAAAAATAGACTAAAATATTTATTCAATACCCTTTAGAGTGCAAGTGAGCAGAGGTGCACAAGAAAGAATAATAGGAGCAGGTACAGAATGAAACAAGGAAGATGGACTGAATTCTGCTCTAAGAAGTGTCTGGTTTATTGATTATTTCAGTCTATTGGTCTTTCAGAGAAACATTAGTATGTCCAATGATTTGATAATGACAAATGAGATCAAAGATGGTCTAATCAAGAAATAAGTGTTAAACCAGAATGGAATGTGAAAGCAGTGTGTGAACTCATTTTAATAGACACCAGTTGTCTGGTTTGGGTTATTTCTTTGCTTTCAGATGCAAGGTTGTTCTACCAAAATGATTTTCCATGAGGCTGGTGACAGTCTCATTTTTCACTATCAAGCAAGTCTGCATTATCAATTACATTCTATCTTATTATAAAGCTGTCTGTTCCAACACTCCACTATGATATTGTTAGGGGAAAATAGCATCATAGAATACTTTCAGCAATGCAAGATTCACTTCTTAAATAGCATTTCTATAAATATATTTTCAGAATGCAGTATTGTCAAAGGCAAATAAGTTTGAATAATATATTCTGATACACCTAACAGTGTGTGGGACAGATAAAATCCAGATATAATGGGCTAGTCTTCAGCTCATCTCCAGCCACTTTGACTCCAGCATCCAGAAAAAAATGCATCCTCTGTGGTAAATGACTCCCAGGAAGCACAGGACCTCTAAATTTTGGGAGTCTCCAAATAAAATAGACCATGGACCTGCTGCAGTTTATACCATCTCTTAGCCATACTCAGATCTTGATTTACTCCAAGCTTAAAATCTCATGTCAGAGTCTGAGAGACCAAATATGACATGTGTATAAACCAAATATAATGCTTATGACCTTCACTACTCTTAATTTAAATGTTTGTATAAATCACATCCACAATATATTCTGGACTATATGGAATCACCTTCCCAAGCTGTGCCTGTCAAGTTTCTTACAAAACAGATTAAATTACCTCTTTAGGAAAGATTACTGTCATCCCTCTCACATTCATCTGTGTTTGGAAGTTGAACCCCTTCTATGAATGCTGATTTTTAGCTCACTCTGAGGGTTATAGTTTCCATCTGCACTCATCTGGCAGCAGTTTCAGTTAGAAAACAACCAGGAGCATGATCTGAACCACAGCTGATCCAGTGGGCTAAGAACAGGAAGAGTTC